CTTCGTAAGAATTCAATTCTTTTCATGAATAATAAAAATTTCTCAAGAATTCAATTATTTGAATTAGAATTTAAATATCCAGTGCGAAGTCTGTTTTTATTGCAGTGACTATATAGATTTTAAAATATTCGAATAGTCGAACTTAAAAGGACCCATTGAAAATTGAATGGTTCTTAGGGTTCTGTCAGGTATTATGGTCGTCGTAGTATTTACAATAGTCAAGGTCAGGCGTCATCCCCAAGAAAAAGAAGATTTTATCTCAAAAAATTTGACTCAAGGTTTTTTCTAGCAGGAAAACAGGAGAATTTAGAACTAGAAGTAGAATCCCCCGAAGTATTTTTATTTGTAAACTAACATTTCGATTAAAATACTTAATTGAAATAAATTTAAATTCAAAAATTTCAAAATTTTTTCAAAATTGAAAAATTAAATTTACAATCAAAAATTAAAATTAAAAAATTAAAATGGTAGTGTTAAATATTAGTGTTAAAATTAGTGTTAAAAATAATAAAGAAGAAATTGAGTGAAGAATGGAAGATTTCCTGTTTTACAGTAAGAGAAAAAGTGGGGGAAATGGTGATAAATTAGAAAAATTTTCTATAGACTGAACAGAGGAAAATAGAGTTGTTGGCATTCACAGTGACATGATGTTAAAAAATAAAGTCCATTGTTGTGGTTAATAATGTTTCTTTTTGTAAACATTTGAATTAGGATACTAGAATGTCGAAGAAGATTTTTCGAACCCTTAGACCTCCCCCCTCCAATTTTTTTTGCGTCTGCATTTTTGCTTTTCCTTTGTGGAAAATAGAAGTTGAAGGCTATTATCGAAGGGTCGCAGGAACATTAGAGAGGCATAAATTTTTCCCAAGCCCCTCCCTCCTTCTACTTGACTATAAGGAACCAATAGAAATTCAAGGTTAGTAAAATTCTGCCTTTGTGGAAAATTTTTTTTACCCTCGTGAAATTTGAGCCACTTCAAGGCTAAATTTCCCAGGAAAACAAGAAAAGTGAAGGGATGAAAGTATTTTCCTAAATTTTCTAACTATATTAGAATTCAATATTATTTTGATATTTACAAATATATTTTTAGTTTAAATTTTATTTAAATTTTATTTCCAGTAAACATTTTAATCTTTTCGACAATAATATTTCAATTTTATTTAATTATTTTCCTTATTCTGAAAAATGTTTTTTAAAAATATTTTTTAGTTAATTTTCTATTAAAAAAATGAATCTTTTTTCTAATTTTTAGTTAATTTTCTATACAAAAACTGAGGATCCAGATTAAAAATACATAAATCGCCTGACGTTCGGAATGCACTCGCTAATATCAGTCAGCAAGCAGTGAGTTAATTTTTTTTACTACTTTTCAGTTAACTTTTTTTTTTTAATTAATTTCTTTTTATTTACCTTATTATTTTATTTTTGTTTATATCTTATTTTTATTTTTTTTTAGTATTTATTTATTCTTTTTATTCCAAAAAACTTAATTTTTATTGAATCAAACTTATTATGCAATGAATCAAAATAGTTATGTTTAATTCAAAAATAATTTTTGGTTGACTGTATAACAAAAAGATAATTATTATTATAAAAATAATTAATTAAAAAAAAATTTATTAACTATTAGTTTCTTTTTAATAATTATTTTTTTTTTGCTTCTTTTTTTCTTCCGGAAATCAGTTTTCGTAACTTGTACATTATTAGCAAGTGCAAACATTTTTTTTACTTTTTAATGAAAAAATCACCAGTTCATTCGGTTTATAAGAATTTTTTTTTCTTCTTTTTTTTTTTTTTTTGCTTTCAACGTTGCTTCTTAGCCGGAGGGAGAAAAAAAAGTTACTTGGGTATTTAGAGTGCTTCAAGAAAGCATGTTAGGAAAGTAACTTTTCACTTTGCGAGTTTTAACAAAACTGCGTGTGGCGAAGGATTCAGAATTGCAATATTGTTAATCCTATTTATTCTTCATTTCTCTTTCTGATTTCTGTAAATTCTTTTCCTTTTTTTCTTTTTTCGATCGTAAATTAGAGTTTTTAAATTTTTTATTTCATTTTCATCTTTATTTAATTTAATTTTATTTATTTACTCAACTTAAACACTAAGTAACATTATTCTTTTAAATATTTTTTTTTATTTAATTTAAAAATAAAAATTATTTATTCAAATACGGAAAATAACGTTTCTTTTCAAGAAAGGAGAGAATCGTTTCTTATAAATATTCGATCGAATTTGTCGCTAGGGTTATGAAACAGAAATTCAAGAAAGTAAAATAAATAATAAAATGTAGTTCATAAATATAATTGTGATTCAATATATTTTTAATTTATAACAAATTTAATTGATGAATAAACGTGGTGGTTAAGAATTAAAAATTCAGTTGCTCTACTTTTCAATTCCTTCTTGAAATTTTCATTTGCAGTCGCATCAAAATTAATTGCAGAGTATGTCACGAAACGATCACTTTATTTAAATTTTTAAAAAAATTTTATTATTTTTATTTTATTATTTATGAAAATAATTAAATTCTTGCGAACGATTTTATTAGAATTTTTTAAAATATAATTGAATTTTGCAAAGAATTTTATTAAAATGCCTCAAAGTAATTGAATTTTCGGGAATAATTTTGTTATTTATCTTTAATAATTGAATTCTTCCGAAGAATTATTTATATTAATAATATTAAATTCTTGGGAAGAATTTTATTAAAATCTAAAAGAATAATTGAATTATTTCCAAAAAAAATTTAATTAAAATAATTCATTTCTTTCGAACAAAATTTTATTAAAATATTTGAAAATATAATTGAATTCCTGTGAAAAATTCTACTATTTCTGTAAGTAAATAATAATTGATTTTTTCAAGGAATTGAAATTAAATTTTTAAGAATAATTACATATTTTTTGAGCAATTCCTGTAAAATTTTATTAAAAATAATTGAAATCCTGCAATAAATTTGATTATTTATGAAAATAAATAATAAGAATTTTATAAAAATTTTCAAAAATTATTTAATTCCTAAGGAGAATTTTATTACTTTTAAAAATAATTAAATTCTTGCGATGAATATTGTTATTTATGAAAATAATTGAATTTTGCAAAGAATTTTAATAAAATGCCTCAAAATAATTGAACTTTCGGGAAAATATTTGTTATTTATCGACATAATTGAATTATGCTTTCAAAGAATTATTTATGTAAATAATTGATTTTTTGGTAAGAATTTTATTGAAATCTATAAAAGAATAATTAAATTATTTCAAAAAAATTTATTTAAAATTGTATATTTAAAATAATTGATTGCTTTCGAACAATTTTATTAAAATATTTGAAAATAATTGAATTCCTGTGAAGAATTCTAATATTTTGGTAAATAATTAAATTCTTCGTAAGAATTAGAAAAAAACAAATTTTTTTATAATTAATTGATTTTTTCGTGGAATTGAAATTAAATTTTTAAGAATAATTTGCATTCCTTGAGCAATTCCTGTAAAATTGTATTAAAAAAATTGAAATCCAGCGATAAATTTTATTATTTATGAAAATAGCTGAATTGTTACTAAGAATTTTATTAAAATTTCCAAAAATAATTAAATTACTGAGAAGAATTTTATTACTTTTAAAAATAATTGAATTCTTGTGATGAATATTGTTATTTATGAAAATAATTGAATTCTTGCGAACAATTTTATTAAATTGTTTTTGAATATTATTGAATTTACAAGAAAACATTTTTTACTTTTAAAAATAATTGAATTTTTGTGATGAATATTGTTATTTATGAAAATAATTGAATTTTGCAAAGAAGTTTATTAAAATGCCTCAACGAATTTTCGGAAATAATTTTGTTATTTATCTTTGAATTATTGAATTCTTTCGAAGAATTATTTATGTAAATAATTGAATTCTTGGGAAGAATTTTATTAAATTCTAAAAGAATAATTGAATTGTTTCAAATAAATTTATTTAAATGTTTAAAAAGAATTGAATAACAGTGAAAAATTTTGTTATTCTTGAAAATATGAATTAATTAATAATTAATTTAAAATAGTCTTAAAAATAATTGAAATTTTTTTATGAGTTTTAATATTTATGAAAATAAGTGAATTCTTGCGAAGAATTTTATAAAAATTCTTTTAAAAAATTCAATTTCCATGAAAAATGTTATTTTTAGGTGAGAGTAATTGAATTATTGTGAAGAATATTGTATAAAAATTTTGTTAAATAATTGATTTTTTCGAAATTTTGTTGAAAATGTTATTCTAAATTAATTGAGTTCTTGTGGAAATTTTATTATTTATGAAAATAATTGAATTTTGGATGAATTTTATCAATTATTATTTTTTTTTTTTTTTGAATAATTGAATTCTTTTGCGAAATTTTATGAAAATACTAGATATTGGAAATAATTTAATTTGGAATATTTTTTTATAATAATTGAATTTCAAATATTTTTTGAAAATTATTAAATCGTTTTAAAGAATTTGTTTATAATTTTTGAGAATAGTTTTTTGATTTCTACTATTAGCGAATTTCTAAGTTAGTGGAAATTCTCAAAAAAACAGAAATAGTAGCTTTTAGTGGTTGAAACCAAAAAAAGTACCCTTGAAAATAGTAGTAAATAGTAGGTTTTAGTAGATGAGTGCGAAGCCTGCATTTATTTCAAAAATATTAAAAAATTAAAAAAATATATAAAATATTTAAATATTAAAATAAATATTAAAATTACATATTTAAATATTTAAATTAAAAAATATATAAAATATTTAAATATTAAAATAAATATTAAAATAAATATCAAAATAAAATATTTAAATATTTAAATTAAAAAATATATAATAATTAGGGTTGATAGACAAATAGGAAGGTGGGTCTTTCTATTTGGAGGGTCGGGGATTAAAAATTCGTCGAGTCTTCTTAAATTTAGTAAAAAATGAAAATTTCCAAACGACATTTGATCAGTTTGGATGTAAATAAATAGTATTTAGGAATGCATCACGTACCTATATAGAGGATGCCATCGAGATCGAGATTTTCGTTGCTGCCTTGACTATTAGCCGCAGTGACGTGGTCATCAACAGCGAGAGTGTGTCTTTTAGGTGCCGGTCGTCCAATACTAACGGCATGCCATTTACTGTCATTCAGTTTAGATTTTGATGTATCTCTGATTTTGACTGGTCCATCTCCCAAATCGAACACATAGGTAATATGACCATTCACTAATTCGACGGCAATAAAGTCCCTCTCACGACCAGCGTTGAAGAAAATTAAGCCATTTGGCTCACGTGTCTTGAACTAAAAATTTTCAATCTTTCATTATTAGCTGTCCTTTAATTTATAAATTCACATTTATTTTTTATTTGTTTCAGGCTAAAGTGTACTCATTAGAAAATTCTGATGAGTCAGAAAAAAAACTGAATTATTTGGAAAGAAAACCCAAAATGTAGTTTTCTTTACAAATAATTCAGTTTTTTTTCTGAACAGGTTTTAAAAAATCCCACTCTAGGGCCTAAAGTGCATCCATTTTATATTCTTTTATATTTAGAAAGTTGTAGGTCTTTAATGTATCTATAATTATAAAGTCAATGCAATTATAAAATTTAATATATATTTATAATTTATAATTTACGGAAAAATGTGGAGATATCGCTAGTAGTGATTTCTGTTCGTATAAATTATTAACCGCAAAGAGAATTATGACGTGTCTTGGGAATTTAAATTATGAAACGCTTCCAGTTAATTTTGTAGGCGTTGCCCTCAAGTTTTGAACAAGTCCAGAACTTGAGAGTCTCCACCTTCAATTAAATGGCAAAGTGCCCGCAACCACTTTTCAAGTTTGCAATTTCGATTCCAACAAAAACTTTATTTAACTTCTCGTAGTCTCTCATATATATATATCTTTTCTTAATTTCTTCCATTTTATTAAGAGAAATAAGGACAAAAATTTAGAAACTCAATTTGTTTTTGATAATTTTTAAGAAATAATAATTTTATTTAAGATTTCAGATTTTATGATTATTAAAGTTTAGATAATGACAGAAACTCTCAAAAATCCTTTTCTTCGCCTTTTATTTTATAAATAAAACATTAAAAGTTTGGTCTCGATATTATCAATAATAATTTATCAGGAATTTTCTTTTTTGTCAAAGTTGATAATTAAAAGCTACAGACCACACGACTATGAATATGGAATTTTCAAAATTTTGATAAAGAGGAATTAATTTTTGTACAAAGAGAAAATTGTAAAATGGAAATTAAAAAAAAAATTGTATTTATGCGAAAATGAAATGGGAATAGAAATCAATTGAAAGAGGTATATATATGAATTAAAGTGATTTTTGTTTCGATAATTGTGAAATCGAGCGGAATTGGAGAAAGGAGAGAGGGAGAAGAAATATTTAGCCAAAATTATAATGAAAATATAATGATATCGATTGTATAAAATTCAAAGCGAGTTTATACGCGGTGTTAATGTTATTTCAGGCAAATGGGACATATTTTCTCATTAAAAACACACGTTCACATACACACTAAGAAATACAATACACATATATATGTTTATATATAATACACAAAACAATGGTGTTCAACAATCGTCAAGGTTAATGGCATTCTCTCAGTATAATATAATGAGTTTTGCGTGAAAATATTGCACCCAGTTTGAAGTCGCAGCTTATGAGCTCTGATTCCATTAAAAGTGAAATATATGTCAGCTTTTATTACATTCGGACATTATTTCTCGCGTGTAAACAAAAAAAAAAAGAAGCGATACGATTACATTTATAATAAAACAGAAAGAAATATCAAAATAAGCATTTTTTTATGTTAATTATACGTGAAAGTAAATTTTATTAATCTTTATCGATTCTAGATTTTCTATTCTGGAAATAAATTATTCTGCAAAAGTTATCGATTTTTCTATTCAATGATTTTATTATACGAAATCAAAAATCCCCAGTGACCTCAAAAAACCCCTAGTAACCCCATGTAACAATTTTCTGGTAAATTTAGTAAGTTCTTAATAATTTTATCTACCCTATTAAATTTTGTCCGCCATATTGCATCCGCCATTTTGAATTTTTGAAATCTGACTTTCGATTTATAATTACCGACCCCAAGAAGATTCGTTATCAGCAAATACATTCACTGTACCATAAAATAATGAATAAATAATTTTTATTCATGAAAGAATTTAAATATTTATAAAAATAATTTAATTCTTGCGAAGAATTTCATAAAAATTGTTAAATAATTGATTTCTTTCGATTAATTTTATGCAAATTCTAATTTAAATACATATGAATTCCTGAGAAATTTTTACTATTCATGAAAAAAATTGAATTCTTACAAATATTCTTACAAAATTTTTTTTAAATAATTGAATTCTGTTTAGAAATTTTATGAAAATATAGAATATGTTGAAAATCATTGAAAAACAATTGAAATACTGAAATGAATTTTATTATTTATGAAATTAATTGAAATACTGCAATGAATTTTATTATTTATGGAAATAATTGAATAGTTGCTAAGAATTTTATTAAATTTTCAAAAATAATTGAATTTCTGAGAAGAATTTTATTATCTATGAAAATAATTGAATTATTGCGAAAAATTTTATTAAAATGTTTTAGAAAAATTGAATTTCTTTGAAAAATTTTATTATTTTTGAAAATAATTGAATTCTTTATAGGAATTTTTATAAACATTGTTTGAAATAATTAATTTTTTCGAAATATAATAAATTTTGTGGCAATTCTATTTTAAATAATTGAATTTTTGTGCAAAATTTTTTTTGTAAAAATAATTGAATTTTTCGATTAATTAATTTAAAATAGAATTAAAAGTAATTGAAATTCTTCGATGAGTTTTATTATTTATGAAAATAATTGAATTATTGTGAAGAGTTGTATAAAAATTTTGTTAAAAAATTGATTTTTTAGAAATTTTTTTGAAAATGCTATTCTTTATTAATTGAATTCATGTGAAAATTTTATTATTTCTTAAAATAATTGAATTTTAGATAAATAATATTATCAATTTTACTTCCTTATAGAGGAAGTCTTTCTAAAAATAATTGAATTCTTTTGTGAAATTTTATGAAAATACTGGATATTGATAATTATTAAATTTCGAATATTTTTTGAAAATAATTGAATTACGAATATTTTTTGAAAATAATTGAATTTTGAATATTTTTTGAAAATAATTGAAACGTTAGGAATTTGATTATAATTTTTTAGAATAGTTTTTTGATTTCTGGTATTAGCGAATTTAATGTAGTGGATATTCTAAAAAGAAACAGAAATAGTAGCTTTTAGTGGCCGAAATATAAAAAAGTACCCAAATATTACGAATCTGATGTCAGATTTTCAAAATTCAAAATGGCGGATCCAATATGGCGGACAGAAATTTTTAAATTTGATGGATTTTTATAAAAGTTGGTATCTAGGGGTTTTCGGTGTCGCTGATTACGAATCTGATACCAGATTTTTAAGTTTTGAAATAACGGATGCAATATGGCCAAGTTTCGTAAAATTTGAATGAAATTAAAAAAATTCAGACGTTAAAGGGTTTAAAACCCTTTGATGACAAGTTTTATAAAAATTTAAAAAGTTTTCCTACTTTTTTCACATAACTATGAAATTGCAAATAAAAATTCACTTTTGTCGCCATTCTGAATAAATTAGAGGATAAATAAATAAATAAATGTAAATCAATTACCTGAAAGTAGATGTTTGTTTCGACGTAAGCCTTGAGAACGGGTAGTCCAACGAAAGTGTGTTTCGATGTAAAAGTAACGGGATGATGAACGGGATGATTTCTTTTGCCAAATTTGCCTGTTACTCTGATAATTGGCGTGACACCTTGATGTGATGTTTGATGAGAGCCGGCGCTACGGGCAATTTCCACATATGGATAGCCATTGAACCAAACCTGCTGGAGTTGACCAATAAAATGTGGAATTTGCTCTCCCGAATGTAGATAGCCGCCAACGTGAAGAGTACGGAATTCTAAGACGCTGTCGTTATTCAAAATTGCCTCAGCTGAAAAAGTAATAAAAGGTGGAAATATTATTCTCTCCTCTGGTTTAATAACTTATTATAACATTTTTTCAACCTCTAAAAGCCCCCTTAAGGGTTCTGTATTTGCCTCAAAAAAAAAAAAAGATTCTAATAAAACAATTTTTATACTTTACAACTGGAATATTTTTATTTAATTATACATTTAATTTAAAATAGGAAATATTTTCTTCAAAGAGATAATTTATTTCATATTTAGTATAGAACTAGCAACGATTCGCGCCCGGCTAACTTTTTACTCCCTTTTTTAAATAAAATTAGCAATTTAAAAAAAATATAATATATTCAAATACTACTTTAATAAAACTACCCAAAAGAAATCAATTATTTAAAAAAAATTTAATAAAATTGTAGGCAAACAATTAATTATTTTCATAAATAATAAAAAAATTCACAGGAAGTCAATAATTTACAAATTTTTAAAAAGTTTTTCTCAATAATTCAATTATTTTCATAAATAATAAAACTCATTGGAGAATTTCAATTATTTTTAATACAATTTAAATCGACTTTCATGAAAAATTTAACTATTCTCAAAAATTTTATAAAAATTCGTCAAAAGAATTCAATTATTTAAAAATTTGGTAATAAAATTCTTTATAAGAATTCAATTTTATAGAATTTTTATCTCATAGAATTTTCTAATAAAAATTGATTTAAAAATAAATTTTATTTGAAATTTTATATAATAATTGAATATGAAAATAATTTTGAAGAAGTTATACAGTAACAATATATTTTTATAATACCTATATAACATAATTATTTTATCTCTCGAACATCTTTAATTATTATAAAAAATGTTTTTAAAGTTATTTAATTTCAAAAAGGTTTGAATTTGAAATTTTTGAAAATCCTAATTCCTATGAAAAAATAATAATAATTAAATATTTATTAAAAAAAAGAAGTTATTGATTGTTTTTGAATAATTTTGTAATTAAAGAAATTTGCAAATAAATGTAACAGAACATTTTTTTCAGTAAAATTTTTTCCTTTATTACACATAAAGTTTTAAACTATAAACTAATTAAATTTTCAGTTCCATGTTATTGAATTTTCAATCACAGTTGCTATTGAATATTCAACTCAATGCTATTGAAAATTCAATGACACGGATTGATATGGACTTCACTTACATGTTATTGAAAATTCATATATACATATTTCTAACAGTGTATTAGTTAATTGTGAGATTTTATTCCACTTTCTAAATTTTTATTTTTTATTTACCGACTGTAGAAATAGTAGAAATTTTTTAAGAATTACAATAATAGTAAAACCGGTAAGTGTCGATAAATATCGGTAACAGAAATCTGTAGTGTTTAATTATCAAAAATAATAAGATAATAATAAGTTAAAAACGGAAATGGTCGATAAATGTCGGTAAAAGAAATCTACAATTTGAAATTTTTTTTAACGGTTGTATTTCCACTCGTTAGTACCTGGAACGGTAAAGATTTTACTTTTAACTAATTAGTCGGTAAATGTCGGTAACAGAACTCTGCAAAAAAAACTTTTATATCCCGTCCTTTTGGACTTTAGGTATTAATAATTTCTTTTATATGAACGGCCGGTAAATGTCGGTAACAGAAATCTGTAATATTTAATTATCAAAAATAATGCGGTAAATGTCGGTAACAGAAATCTGTAATGTTCCATTATGGAAAATCATAAAATAACAATAAGTAAAAAATAGAAATGGCAGGTAAAGGTCGGTAACAGAAATCTGTAATGTTCAATTATAAAAAATACTAAGATAACAATAAGTAAAAACAGAAATAACCGATACATGTCGGTAACAGAAATCTGTAATATTTAATTATAAAAAAATAATAAGATAACAATAAGAAACAACTGGTCGATAAATGTCGGTAACAGAAATCTGTAATATTTAATTATAAAAAATAATAAGATAACAATAAGAAACAACTGGTCGATAAATGTCGGTAACAGAAATCTACTATTTGAAAATTGTTTTTAAAAGTTGTATTTCCACTCGTTAGTACCTTGAACGGTAAAGATTCTTCTTATAAATAATCAGTCGGTAAATGTCGGTAACAGAACTCTGCAATAAAAACTTTTTTTATCCCGTCCTTTTGGATTTTGGGTATTAATCATTTTTTGTAGGTAAACGTCCGATAAATGTCGGTAACAGAAATCTGTAATATTTAATTATAAAAAATAATAAGATAACAATAAGAAACAACTGGTCGATAAATGTCGGTAACAGAAATCTACTATTTGAAAATTGTTTTTAAAAGTTGTATTTCCACTCGTTAGTACCTTGAACGGTAAAGATTCTTCTTATAAATAATCAGTTGGTAAATGTCGGTAACAGAACTCTGCAATAAAAACTTTTTTATCCCGTCCTTTTGGATTTTGGGTATTAATCATTTTTTGTAGGTAAACGGCCGGTAAATGTCGGCAACAGAAATCTGTAATATTTAATTATCAAAAATATTCCAAATGATGAACAGTTTTCTAAGTTTTTAATTCTAATAGATAAAAAATTGCAATATCGTCTAAAATTGAAAATCCTATGGACTGTATTAAAAAACAAAAATGCCTTCACAGTATATTAGCATATATTTCTCTATACGTCAATGTAGAAAAAGAGCAGCAAAAAAATTGTATAGTCAATATCAAAGTGTTAGGTGCGGGTGCGTCTAAAAAATGCTCACACAGCATTTTACTCGGGAGAATTTGAAAACCTCCTAAAGCGTATATCGAGAATAATGAAATTAATTCCAGAAAGCTGGAACACACAATGGAAGTGATGCTGGAATCGACGGGTCCAGCAATATCGATAATATAATCGATACACGCTTGGTTTGCCAATCAAGTGTGTATAGGTTGCGGCTGTATAACGTCGTCCATCGACCCTCTATGTTCCTATATAGATATATATGAATATATATATATATAGTATATATTGTATATATGTATAGAAACACCTCCGATTTTGCCTCGACTGGTCGTCCCCATTAATCGGATGGCGAGTACCGTCAATATTGAGTTAGGTGGCAATACCCTAAATTGCTGGACCGCCCCACGCCCTCATCGGCACTAACCTGTGCTTCGCCTTATCGACCTCACCAAAGTCCAAAACGCGCCATTCAATAGCCTTTCTGTCTATATATATAGCGAGAGAGGAAAGGAGAGAGAGAGAGAGAGAGAGATAGCCTACACTTGGACGCATCGATCGAATTCAGACGATAATTGTTACTTCGAGAATTGCCTTTGCATCATCAGAGGGAATCAAATCCAGTCGAAATTAATCCAAGAATGCGTCCAACCTCTACCCCTCCCTTCCCACTACTACCCTTCTCAATTTGAACGGCATCTCATTATATCTCTCCTGCATACGATCAATTTTGCAAATATCCCCTGTATCATTTTAGGCAAATAACAACGCTACTTGTCAAGCACACACAATTAGAATTTCAATTTTACGTAAATTAATTTTCCGCAATATATAAATTTGACAGACATGAAATTTATACATATATACTGAATGTGTGAAAAGTTTGCTATCTTAAATTTACAATTGAAAATTAACAATAGCAGTACAAAAACCTACTACACTGTAAAAAATTTATGGAGTTGACGGTCACTGGAATTGGGAGTGAAATTTTTCGAGTTAAAAATCAACTCCAAAAGGGAGTTAACTATTAAATTAACACCCTTTTGGAGTTGATTGTTGTTTTTCTATAACCCATTTGCATCACGTGTTTTTGAAGACATGTTTACCTACAAAAGAAATTTTTAATACTCAAGTTAGCAATAATAACGATTTATTAAAAAATTAATAATTAATTAATCAACTGAATAATTAGTAAATTAATAAAAAATTAATTAATAATGGTAATGTTCAATATAAATTGTTCTTTGATAACATTGAGAGTGATAGGAGGAGAATCTCGTGAAAAGGTTTAGGAGTTGCACTCTCCTTAATTTGAAAACTCCTCCGAGTTCAAAACACCTATAGAAAGTCTCCATTTAATACACATTCCTATTTAAATAAAATCTACATTTTCACACCATTTGACAATAAAACAATTAATCATTTAAATATGAAGTAATTAACATTTCCCTGGGTCATTACACATAGCTATTAATAAAAAATTTTTTAATTGATACCGCACTTGAAAAATAAAATGTAAATTGAAAAATTTCAAAGGAAATTTCAGAATTGTTATAAAATGGAAACAAACGAATGGGAATAAATTCAAAAGTGACTGAAAGAGCGAGAGAGTGAGAGTGAAAAAAAAAAGAGAGTGGGGGAGGAAGAGGGAGGATTTATGTGATAAATGAACGTAAATCTAAATCCAATAAAATAAAGCTTAATGGGTCGCCGGTTTGCTATTGTGATACCCTTGTTGGTTATTTGTGATCGACAGGAGCAAAGTTCGTATTGGAATATGTATTATATACATATATCATGAATATAGAATTATATCGATATAGATATCGAAAAAGAATTGCTTCTCTTTACGAATTCCAAATATATATATGTATCATATACTTTACGACCCATCAGACTCGATATATTTCAAACCATCCCCCCTCCCCTCACACCTCCTCTTACCACTTCTATTTTCTTTTATAAATCCTTTATTTGCGCTTTATATTTTAACTGTATTTGAAATATTTATGTATGAATTTTTTTCACCACATGATATAGATTTGCACAACTTGGTATAGAAATGGAAATATTATTTTAATTCTCTTCAACACCTATTGCTGTTGATAATACTATAATAGGAAAATATTGGTGAAGTAAAAATTAAATTCATTAAATTTAATTATTAATTTAATAATATTGACAGTATGAAATATTTATTTCTGTAGAAATAGTTTTATTAGGAAATTTTTTCGGTTAAAGATAAGGAATTTTAAATTACAGATTCCTGTTACCGACATTTACCGACTGTCTCAATTTAGTGTCTATTCCATTCTTTTAG